GGCTCCTCATCCGCTGCCCCGCGCCGCATCCCGCGGGCTCCTCATCCACTGCCCCACGCCGCATCCTGTGGGCTCCTCATCCGCTGCCCCGCACTGCATCCCGCGGGCTCCTCATCCGCTGCCCCGCACCACATCCCGCGGGCTCCTCATCCGCTGCCCTGCGCCGCTTTCCAGAGCGGCGCAATAAAGAATCCGCCTCGAAACAAATGACTTCCTGCCCTCGGGAGCACAGCAGCTTTGCCAAATGTTTCTCAAAAATAAAATGTCAATCAGAATGTTTTCAGCCTGCGGCTTTATGCAACGCTACGCAAAATGTTTTCAGAAACTTAACATACCGACTAAGGACTCCAACATTCTGCTTCAACCCCTTTGCGTTAAAACTTATCTCTTTCATTTCTTAGCAAAACCTGCTCATGCGACTCCGTTTTAAGCGGTGATGTCTCACTTAAAACAAAAAAACTTGCAGCTTTCAGGAGGGTCTAAGTGGCATAGTCAAAAATATTTGTTATTAACTCAAGCGAAATGGATCATAGCTATTTTTGAGTACACAGCTACAAGTCCATTAAATTATTATACTGGAAATATCATCTCAGTTATTAAAGTTACAGAAAAAAGACTGTTCTTATTTTATGTCCTGCTATCTAACAAACATCTGGATAAGTGCAATTATTTCTAAATAAGTTTCATGAACGGATAGCTCGAAAATGCCTTTTTTCATGAGGCTCACAATTATTTCATGTTACAGCATCATCAGAAAATCATTAATGGGACTGTAATCTCGTAGCTGAAAAGAAAAATCCTATTTGTAGCTATGATTTCCTGAATGTACATACACATATGGAAAGGATATATCAAATAATATAGCGCACGCATGACCTTTTCCTTTCTGTTGGTAAGTTACTGCTTGTCGGCTTTGGGAGTGTGAGGAGAATAAAACTACATCCTAAGAATTGCTGCCGTGTTCTCATCAAAGGCTGCAGCACTTCAAAAAGCTAACAAGGTTTTTCGAAAGTGATTTAAATACAATCTCAGGAGGAGTTCCAGGAATGTCAGCTAGGAACTTTAAGGACAAATATACTGTTATTTAGTCATTGCAGCCCAGCTTGTGAACTCACTGCAGTTGCAGTGTGCTTGTCTCAGCCTTCTCATTAAAGACCGTATTTTYTTCAGCGTAGCCTGAAACTTGGCAAGGAAAGCTCAATCCAGTAGCAAATTTATTACAATTTTTTAAAACTCATTGCGTTCATTTTTAAGTAATGGTATAAAAGTACAGAATAACAGAAGTTTACATATCTGAGCTGCTGCATCTGTTCTTGAGTAGCTTTTCATTTAAAAGTAAAACTTGGCAGGCAACATGCCCATAATGCAGACCAAATGCATTCGGTATGTCGAAAAATAATGTTAAATGAGCAGAGAGAGTTAATTCTGAAATGTTTTCATCACACATCCGCTGTTTTTTTTCTCCCCACGAGATTCCGCTCATGGGCATCCAAGCYGGCTGCACTTGTCCCCCAATGACCCACACAGCCCAACACCCTCCTGCCACCTCCCGGCCTCCTCCAGGCCTGGTGGCCTTTCCGAAAGGACAAAAAAATTGCACAAAACATGGCAGGGAAGGGACAGCAAATGCTGCAAATATGAGAGATGGCAAGGATGGGATGCACCGAACAGACCTGCTGGGGAGCTGTGGGGAGCCTAATGCTGCACTTTGACTGCATTGACTTCAGCACAAAACCCTGCCATGCTCCAAGGAAATGCCCGTCTGCCCAACGTGATGCCCGCAAGGAAAGGCCCAGGGACAACGCGAACGGCTGCTGCTGGAAGTTCATCTCCATCAGCCTGAGATGGCCAATGGAGACCTACATTTGCGATGCACAACTCCAGCTTTTCCAAAGAGGGAGCTTTGCCTCCTGTGCCCAAAGAAATTCGGAGCAAGCTTCATCAGAGGAGCCTTCCAGCCCTTCCTGGTCCCTGGGACCTTTCCTTGCTTGCAAGAGCCCTGGCCGAGCCCCAGAGCACCCGCATCTTGCCCTGACTTACAGCAGTTTGCTGGCACCAACCSTGTGCCTTCCTCTGACCGACAACGCAGTGAGTTATACGGATCATGCTTTTTGGCTTTTATTTAAGTTTAAAATGATAAATTACATGTAGCGTCTCAAAAAAAAGATCATTAAGTCAAGATATTTAAGGACCAAGCCTGCAGTGACCTTAGCTCAAGGCCTGGTGTCTGGCCCATGATGCAGAAACTGGTCTAAACCCATGTTGGCACTGGTGAGAGATGCCCAGGCTCCACACACGGAGGCTTCCAGAGCCAGCTGATGGCTTAAATATCCCTCATCCACCACCTCCCTTCCTGTGCCAGCACGCCCCAARACTTTTCTCCCCTTTCTGTCTGCCTTGGTGCTGGCAAACAAGCCTGTCAAATGTCATTTTAAAAAGCTGCCCCCAGCTCTGCTCGGGAAAGCAAAGCAGCCTGCAGCTTCAGCACTGCAAGCAGAACTGACTGAGGGGCTGAGAGCAGGAATAGGAGCRACCCGCTCCCACATCCCACAGGACAGGCGATCCCCATCTCAGGTGGGAGCGACCGAGCGAGACAGCATCAATAACCACAACGTGGGAGTTGTTCCTTACCTGTCCGGTAGACAAAGTTGCCCTCGGTCTCTGATGACGACGGAGACACCAACTCCTCTTCAAATTCATTGGAACTAAACGACCCAGAGTGATTCCTTTGCCTCGTTTTCTCCATCATAGCAGCGTTAGTAGCCATGACATGTCTCAATGAGTCATTCAGGTAGCGATTCAACAAGCTGCTCTTGTATTTGGGGGGTGACACGTAATCCTCGCTGGCACTTGGCTCTGGTCTCACTCCTGTTTTTATTACCGAGCTTTCAGTTTTAATCACAGTATGGTGAACCGGTTTGCTATATCCCCCTTCATTCATATGATTTCTTGGAGGATTTTCTCCATCTGAAAATAGAAGAAGAAAGGTGCAGCAATACTTCAAATACCTGATAAACACAAGAGTCTTTCTCTTATGTTCTGCATTCCTATAAACAAAACTGTAACTAGACAAATCATTTTACAATTCAGCCTTACACAACAYTTTTCACTGTTTTCTGTTTACATGTCTCTCACAGCACTTCCTAGAGCTCTCAGCTATTCCAAATTAAATCACTGCATAAAACAGTCTTTGGGTCTAATTTGCTCATGAGCAACACTAGCTGAGAGAGGAAACCTCAGCAGTGCCATAAACCCATGATAAACATTTCCAGATCTGTGAGAATAAGCTTAATTCTTACTATCATATTTTCTTAGAAAATATGAACTCAAAATTGGCTTCTTCTGCATAATAAGATATTTAAGCATAGCTTCTTAAACTGTACTCTTTTAACTTTCGTGTAACCAATATTTTAAAGACAAGCAAATATAAAAGATATGTACAAACTGAAATTGGGAAAAGTAGAATTGAAATTGAATACAAATTGAAACAATTTCCTTTAAAAAATGTGCTACATATTTCTAGCAATGTTTACAGGATTTGTTCACCTCTCAACACACCTCCTAGCTACAACTGACTGATATAAGCACTCATAGATGTATTAATACYGATGTTCTACTTAAAAAATAGGCTGTTACTTACAAATGTCCTACATTTGTTAACTTTGATCAGACAGAGAATTTAATTGCATCTTTTATGGAAATGTTTGCTGGTAAAGCATAAGATTGCTACAAATTCAATCATATTCTGTTTACCATATAAAAGTCCTACTGAAGTCAATCGGATTTTCTTGTCTATGAAATAATATTTAGTCCTTTCATCAAGTAACATACATAAACTCAGGGAAGCTACGACCACGAAGCTTCCCGTTTCCCTAAACTGATAAATATGATTTTTTTTTTTTACTGAAGATTAACGGAATAAGCTTGTAGTATCTAATAAACTAAGAAATATCTTTCTTATAACAACACTAAACAGAACAGGCAAATAAAGCGCAACCAGCCTGTCAGCCTTGATTAATTTATACAATGCTATTTTGCAAGCCTGTAAAGTAGCTGGGAAATGAAAGTGGCATTTAATTCACAAAGAGGAAAGGCAGCTCCCCAGGGAGTGTTTGGGGAGAAATCCGAGCTCTCTTCGGGAATCTGCCTCTTTCTAAACTTAATCAATTGAAAATCGATAGAAAAAGAACATCAACAAACCTTCAGAGCAGGAATCATCACTGCTTACGCTAAGTCTTTCCGCGTTTCCTTGAACATATTTGTTGTACAGTTTTATTCGCAAAGCCCAGCTAAGATCTGGCTGCCTGACCGTATTCTTAAGGCGACGTCTTGCATTGGCAAACCAGTTTGATACCTGCATAAAAATGAATATATTAGATTCCCTCAAAAACCAAGCAAACAAACATCTCTGACCATATAATTTGCATGAGTTTGTGTACACCCTAAAAAAACAGCAAATGACGGAAATAAATTCAGCCTGTGTGGGGCAGCAGGAATCAGGCAGACTAATATTGATCAGAACTGGATCTAGCCAGGAGCGGGGATTCAGGCTTCCCATCCTTCACAAGTGTTACCAAGTCCTCATTTATTAATAGTAGTGAGCTTTAATTCAGATCTCCCAAAATACTCATGAGGGTTTTGTTAAAGAAAATTCTGAGAAACTTTCAGTAAGAATTTTCAACATATTACTAGCAAATTAAAATTAATAAGTAATGTTAGATAATTTGCCTTTGACATTTATGTAGGCTATGATAAAATACTGAACAGAAAAGAAAAAAAAACTTTTGAATTTGGTTATATAAAAGCCTAAATTCTTGCTCGTGCTTTATCAGTACACTGAGATTGACAGCTAGTGGGTATCATAAAAGTCTCACACAGAACATAACATACTTTGAGTCACTGCAGAAACCAGCCATTTGCTCTATGGAGCAGCAGCTCTTAGGAACTTTTTTTGCTATGGAAATCTCTAAAAATAGTGAAAATGCAGATTCCTTACACGGTGGCTGCTAAACGAGGGCCTGGCATTGCCTCGAGTTTGACATTGTGAAATGCATTGCCATGAGTATCCTAAACGGTCACTGCAAAGACAGGTTCCAGCACAAAGATTTTAAAGATCTTTATGCATCAAAGAAGCGAAAAGGCACAGGAGAGTCTGCCGTGCCAGCAATGCTAATTAAACCATTAAGTGGGATGCCATGTACTTGAAGYGACTTTGTATCAAAATGTACTTGAGAAAGGGCTGGCCTTGGTTTCACTGTCACTTAGGAAAACATAAAATGGGAATTACAGATAAAGACAGAATGACCTAACGGTATCTTTCCCATGACTAAAACACTCACTCTAGTAATATTTATTTTACGATAAACCAGTGCTCCAAAATGGTATTTACTCCTTCGAGGAAAAAACAGTACGTGACTGTATGACTTCTGCAGAAAGGAGGCCGAGTAGCACTCCTTGAAAAACAAACTGCAAAGAGCACCGGGGCCTGGCACTGCCCAGCTCCCATTCCGGGGCTGAGGAAGGACCGTGCAGTCACATCCTGACCTGCAAATGATCATACAGTTTAAGTCATGTTAACCTGCAAAGCCAGCTAACATATGTTTTATCAATACAATACTACTCTATGTGCTAGAAAACCAAAGTGGAGGCCTCAAAGTTGGATTTTGGCCCTAGTTTTGTCATCTGACTATTGCAGCAAAGGCTGCGTAAATAGCACGGAGGCTTCTTGGTAGTTATTTTGGATTGATAATCTCTTTTAAGGTGATAATGAGAAAAATAAACACTATCTGCTTAAGGAAAGAGAACACTTCAGCTCGGAGTCCTACCTACAACTTAGCAGTGGCGCTTTAAGCCTGTCACTTTGGTTTTAGGTTAAATCCAGTTTACATGAAACAGGGCTCCACTGAAAATACAGCGAGCCCTGGATCAGCACTCAAATGCCAAACACATGCCTTTGCAAACCATGTAGTTTACTGTGACAGGTTAGGAGACCAGAACCGTAGCTGGCGGAGAGGAGCAAGTAATTTTCATTCTCTTCCAAAGCTACTTGTTTATATTCGTCGTATTGACACAGCAATCATTATAGTAAACCAGAAAGGATGGGTTGGAACTCATCCACTTTCTAATGCAGTTTAACAAACTCACTCCAGACCGCTCAGCCAAAGCAGCGCTCTCCTGCCTTCCGCACCGTTTAGTGTGACTTTCAAGTCCTATGTGTAACGATAGAGGCCCACTGAATATTACAGCAGTGACTGCAGCGTCTAACAAAACTGACAGCTTTCCAGCATCTCATGAGAAATATTTCATTCTGCTGCACTTCGTTACATACTGAAATATTTCATCATTCAAGTGCCATGTACAGAAAAGAAAGATAGGGTAGTATTAGTGTGACTCATGCATAAAAGCAATTAAATTTAGCAAGAGCGATTTTTTGCATGGCACTCTTGGTTTATTTTGAACTCATTCTTCCTATGCCAGCCTTCAGCTTCCTACATATCAATATGAAAAGATGAGCCATATTTTAAGTCTTATGAGGAGAGAAGAGGAAATAGTAGTATTTGATCATTATGAAATAAGCTTAGTCAGCATTTACAAGGGAGACTTTCTTCTACAGCACAAAGCAGCTGACTCTCACTCTTACCCTGAAGGCACTTTAAAAAAGGCTCTTTAAAGCTGAGTGAAAGTCAGGCCAATGCACGGAGCAGATCTTTTGCACGGATCTGTGGTGTGGCACTTGGGGGTCTTTTGCTGCTCCTGCCAAATCCAGATCCCTAGGAGATGAAGGGTTCATCACCTCTCCCAGGCTTGAATTCTGGAGCAAAATCCTCATGTGTGGACTACGAAAAGGTTACCAGACTCCAAAATTGTACCACAGAGCATACTCAACCCGAGCTCTAGACATGGACATTACAGGCAGTCTTTAAAGCCAAGGAGACTTTTTATCTCTAATTTCAACCCTAAATACTACTGTGTGTATCCATGTGGTCTTCAAAAACTTCTGTGTCTACTGCTCCAAGTTGCAATCTCTATAGGTACATGTTTCACCACACTTAATCTGGCTGTTACAGACAGAAACAACCTAAGCTGCCAAAAATCAGCCATTAACTAAAATGGTTCTAAGTTACAYCACTATGATCTCCAAAAATCTTGAAAAACATAAACCCAGTGATTTACATACAAGAGAGTGGGAAAACCTGTGTCTCAGAGGCCTACCAAGAAGTAGTATCTTGAACAAATGCACGATGTTCTTGCAAAGCAGCAAGAATAAAAAGTCTTTCAGGAATTACAAAGAAAAACCAAGAGGCAAAACCAGGTAGGCTTCCCAGCATTCAGACTTTACAACAGCTCAGTCATTCCCCTAAAGAGGAAGAAGGATTTATATCAGCATCAAGAAATACTGACCCTCTGGCTTTGCTTCTGAAGAGACTCTTTAAATTTGTTCTAATTTGTTCTGCTTCACTTCTGAAGAGCAGCCAAGGTTTCAGAAGGGGAAGAGAAATCAAGCAGTTCTCCTCCTCCAATAAACCAGATATGCCTGTATGAATCTGAATACTATTAAATCCACAGCAGCACATGACCGGGATATTAATCCTAGTATGGCAAATAGCTTCTATTCAACAATACAGCCATTCATATTTCTTTCTGGAAGAAATATATAACCATTTTTCTTTTTTATTTCAAAAGAACGACTAAAACAAAATTTAAAATAAAATAAATCAAATGCTGCGGTAATAATGCAAATGAAAATGTAGCATATTAATAGCATATTAATGGGACAAATTATTGGATTCTCAATTGGAATCTAATTGGAGTAAAACATAAAATGGCTTTTCAAACTATATTGCTTTTTTGGTTTCCTGCTTTGGCAGTTTGGGGAGTAGAATACTTTGGACGGTTGGATTGAAAGCTGCAATAACATTTGCCTTGAGGACTCCCAAAGACATTGCTGGACCGCTCAGGAATAAGTCAGCCCAGAATTTGCCCAGTTTTTACTACTAGTTATTAAGAAACAAAATGATTTATGACTCCTGAGAAATTCTACCTCCTTGAAAGAGTTAGACTTCCCTCCCAAAGCCCTGATCATCAAGTAGATGAAACAACCCACGTGCTGTTCCACTATGCCCAGGAACAGAATATTGAGCAAAAGTGTTAGTGAAGTGGAGTAAATTAAAAGTTTAAAAAGCAGAAAGATGGGTGGTAGTAAAATCAATGAAAACAAAATAGCAGAAAAAAAATGATATTCAGGTATTGTCTTAATAATAGTAGGAAACAGGGTTGGATGTTCAACATTTCATCTTATAAGAGGATCAATTGCATCTGTGTCATGGTCCTGCAAGTCATCTCCTTTGGACAAGTGGTACTCACTGGAATAGGAGAAAAACAAGCATGTGGAGAAGACATTCATAGCCTTATTATCAATATTACAGTGACCGGCATCATATTCCAGCAGCTGCTGAAGATGTGCAGGCAAATAATGGCAAGCTGGTGGGATGGGGAAGGAAGGTGGGCACAGATCAGAGGGTAGCCACAACCAAAAACATTCCACAGGAGGTCCAGACCTCGTCACCAAAACCTTGGGAAACATGGGAGCTGCTTGTCACTTGGGGACATTCAGGATGTTGTGCCAAGGTTGTCAGYCAAGAGAAAAGACTGAAAACCTCAGCTTTTCCTTTCCTAAGTGGAGTTTTGGTGGCGGAAACTCAGAAGCATTTTCAACAGCATCTTTCGGCTTCCCATGGGCTGCTGGTGACCAGGCGTCAGCGCCCTGGGGATGCCAGTGAAGAGGCAGCAGCTTTCAGAGACAGCAGCCTCGGCAGGAGAACAGCCGTGGGAGCAGAGTCACCTCCTGCTGAGGGCAAACACCATGGGACAGCTCTGCGCCAGGGRAGAAGACTAGGAAATACGAGAAGGGTCTCCAAACGTGAAGGCGTATAACACAGGGAAAACAGCAGGCACCGGTTCCTGGATTTTCAACAAAATCGGATGGTGTTTGGTGTTAGCAGATTAGAAAACCAAGCATAAGAGACCCTGTTTGATGCTTTTGCAATTTGCCCTCCTGGAACAAGAAGCAAAGCATTCAAGCAGATACAAAAGCCCAGACCTGCCTCTGTGCTTGGTTACACTAGTCTCAGCTCAAAGAAACACCGAAGACCTCAGGGAAGTTTTTCAGATGTACCCAGCACRGCTGAGATCACAGCCTGGCTCCATCCTTCTGCCTCTCAGAGAACAGGAATTTTGATCTGGATTTCAGTCTCGTTCGTTCTCAGTGTGTGAAAAATAGATGTGGGGTGTGTGTTGTTTTGTCCTTCCAGGCTCTGGAATTACTGGTGCTGCCAGACATACGTATTTACCTCTTGCACAGATGCTATAGTATTCCTGGATTAAAAGAGCATTGCGCCCAAATGATGGAAGAAACATCTGGGGTTTGTTTTTGATGTGCTTCTGTAAGCGAAGATAGATGTGCTGGTTTGCACAACGCTTTCAAATATTACATTTCGTAGAAATATGGCTGGCCAGACTCATCTCCAGCATAAATCAACTAGAATCAAGGGAGCCTAATGAGGGATAAATGCAGCTATGATCCTTCTTAATTTTATTCTGCACCTTACTTAGACCATAAAACTCTGTTGGGGTAGTGGCCATGACTCCCTTGAGRTTTTTTATAGAAGTCAGCACAGAATATCTTAATCAGCGCTTAGCAAAGCTGCTGTGAGAGACACACTGGAAAAAAATCACCACAGTTTYCCTCATCTGTTCATGTTGTGGCATGTGTAAAAGAGTAAGGGAGGGACTCCTCAATATGCCATTAATGTTAAAGTCTCCACATGTATTCAGGATATATATTTTCAATCGCATATAAAAACACAGGAATATTCTGAAAGTCGTAGACCAAAAAGCTACTCTTATTGAATTGTGCACTGAATACACAGCATTTACATAACTCTATTTTTAAAAGTCTGTGCAAATCTTTCATGAATATTTTTAAAAAGCAAGCAAAGTTGTTTTAACTGTATCTTCCTGTTATAACTAGCATTTTCTGAGACATTAGTACCATTTTTGTCAAGGCTATAGTGCTTTTGCTAGTGCACTAGTTTCACAATGAGGTACTAAAGTGTAAAAGTTTCACATTTTGCCGACACTACTAGAATCAAAGTTCATAGCCCAACTCTTCTTGAAAGAATATGCAAAATAATAATGGTGAATTGACACCTTGTTTTTCTAACACCTCGTGTTATTTTGATACCGTAATGTCCTTTGTAAAGTGACACATACTGTATTATGTAGAGGACTTGGGTCCCGGTGCTGCAAACACATGTATTGTTATGCACCTAGGAGCAACTCCCAGAGAGGAAAATAAAATTATTCAAAATGTGTAAATCTTCATATCACCCAGAACTGAGATAGTCTTATTCAGCAACTGGTATCATTTAACCACAAAATTGAGCAGAGTGCCAGATGGCAAAGAAAGCAAAGAAATAAATTTATAAACATTGACAGCCAACTTCATACCTCTTACTGCTGCACAACTACCAGTCGTTTCAGTGGGGTTTCATCTGACAGAGCAAATCAGAGTAATCCCCACACCTAACTGCTCTGTGCAATGAGAACTGATGCAGAACTGAAGTGCAGAATCGCTCTGTGCTGCACATTGGGTGTATGGTAACACCAACCAGGGCTAGGAATAGCTATGATTATTATTGAAACAATGTTCACTTTTTCTATTCTATCCTGCTTTTCTAGGGRAAATCTGCAGCTCTGTAAAACTTTCTGATCAAGTTGCATTTTGTGCTGAAGCCTCCAATAACTGATTTGCTTTTTGTTCGGCTGAAAGATTTTTAAAGACCAAGCAAAAATAAAAATACAAAAGTACCGTATTTCTGAATGAGACGATCTGCAAATGCTGCCCTGTCCCCGGAGGGGAGGCAGGCAGGAAGGGAAGGATGCACACGCTGTTTGCCGAGTGCCCTTTGCACTTCCCGGCCAGGAGGGCCGGAGGTGGCAATTCCTGTCCGATAGGATTGGTCCTGCTGAAGGGGAAACCCTGGGAAGGGCAGCAGGGACCGCAGAGCTYGGGCGTCTTCACTGTGCTGGTGCTCCCATGCCTCTGCTGTCCCACACGCACCATGGGGGCAGCTGTGGGCAAGGGCGGCTGCAGCAGGGTCTCCTCTCCAGGGCCAAACCCTGCATGTGGGGCAGCCCCACAGTCCTCTTGCACAGCTCACAGGGGGCTTTGGGTGCTGCTGTCCCCATCCCTCCCACCCAGGAAAATCCCGGGGGCAGGCGGGATGGTCACGGGTGGCCTTACCTGCACCAGGGTCATCTGGGAGCCGAGGGCCAGCAGGATCTTCTCGGTCTTGGTGGGGTAAGGGTTGTCGCGGTGCTTGTAGAGCCACTGCTTCAGCGGGCGCGCCATGTCCTGCAGTGCCTGCCGCTTGTGCCGCACTTTGCCGCCGCTCTGACGGGCCCTGCGCGGGGACGCAGCGTGAGAGCCGCCCGGCCTGGCGGCCCCGACGGCCCCCGACGGCCCCCGACGGCCCCCGACGGCCCCGCGGACCGGGCAACGCCACCCCCGCAAGGGAGTCCTGCCCCATAGCGAGTATCCTGCCTCACAGGGGGGTGTCCCCTGTCCCAGGGGGGTGTCCTGCACCCTCGTCGCGCGTCCTGCCCGATGACGAGGGTGCCCTGTGGGGGATCCAGCCTGCCTGGGGCGAGTGCTGCCCCAAGGAGCTACCGCAGGACCCGCGACCCTCGGCCCAGGCAGGTTGCAGCTCCTCTGGCCTCCTCGTCGAGGGGCTGGGGGGTCGCGGCGAGGGATGGGGGCAGCGGGAGCAGAGGGAAACGCGGCCGCGGAGCAGGCGTTACGCGGGGCAGCGCTTCGGCCTCGAGCTCTTTACAGCGCTCGGCACCTGCGGAGCGTAACTTTCGGTGCTGTCACCGAGGGGCTTCCCGAGCACTGCGGCACCCGCGCCCGGAGCTGCCGCGCGGGGGGCCGCGGGGCTGTAACCCCCGGACCTGATCCTGGCCCAGAGGGGGAAAAAAAGGGGGGGGGGAAGAGAGAGGAAAAAAAGGAAAGAAAATAAAAAAGGGAAGGAAAAAAAA